AGCTCAGTAGTGCGTCTACACCTGTTTGCGAACATGAACAGCTTCCAGAAAGTGTCTAGAGAGATCTCAGTGTCGATGCTCGCCTTACAGTGAGCGAGTGTGCTGGGGACCGGGCTGCTGTGTACGAGGCCTGCTGTAAAAGGGCTGATTTAGGGTGGCGTGGGGGCTGGGGTTCAGAGTTTTGTTGGATGAAGTTCGGGAATTCTGATGGCAGGTAATTCAGAGCTTTAGGGTTGGACTTGAGGATTCGGGCTTTCGGTGGTTTTGGTGCCCTCACAGCCCTAAAGCCTAAAACCTAAAACCTAAGCCCCATATGGAGGTTGGGTTTCAGTCTGGCCGTGCTACGGGCGTTGTGTGGCAAGCAGGCTTGGGGGTCTCGTGGTTCAGGTGTTTGAGGCTGTTTCTGTCCGGGCTGAGTCGCTGCAGACCAGATGCCAAAGGGCTGAGACTGTCTCCAATTCCCTAATTAAAGCTCCCAAAACCACACAATCACACACGCACACAAACACCCACCCACCACCGAACCCTAACGAAACCCCTAAACAAAGAACCCCTAAGCCAAGCAGCCCAAAAGGCACGAGGCCGCCGTGGAAGATCTTCAGCGCCTTCTGGAAATCGAGCCTGGCAATGCCCAGGTTTGGGTGAGGGTTAAGTTTAGGAGTTTAGGGGTGAGGGTTTACTGTATTTCGGGTTGCAGATTGTTGAGGTTTGTGGGTTTAGGTTCCAGGGGTTTTAAGGCGTTAACGGCTTAGGGTTTGGATGGTATTAAGCTACAGCATCTAGGTCTCGGAGCTGGAGGACCGCATCTGCAGCGCTCCGAACAACAGTGCCATGAGAAGGCTTGCCTTGCTAGATGCCCAAACGGGCAAAATCTTGTTTCTGGGAGTTCCCGAAACTGGAGGAACCATGTGGTTCGACTTCAGGGCGGAGCAGAATCAAAGAACCCCTCGCCCAATTCACCCAGAACCTCAAGGAGTGACCAGAGTTTGAGGCTTCGGGCTTAGAGCCCTGGATGTGAATCGGAACCTTGATGTCCTCGCACCTACGAGGCTTCACGTTCGGGCCCAACAGGAGGGCAAAGATTTCATTGGACGACATCTTCCACAGTGTATCTATACACATGTGGTGCTTGAATGTACCTGCCTCTCGCCTGACCATGTATTTCGTGTCCTCTCTGCATGTGCATGTGCATCTGCGCGTATGTGTATGTGTATACATATACATGTAGATTTATATCTACATGCTAACATACATGCATAGTTACATACCTACATACGTACATACATACGTACATAGATACACACATACACACATACATGCATACGTACGTACATACATACATAGCTGCTTACATACCCACATTACATTACATTACATTACATTACATTACATTACATTACATTACATTACATTACATTACATTACATTACATTACATTACATTACATTACATTACGTACATACAGACATACATACATATGAACCTGCCAGTGTATGTGTACATTTGTGCATCCACACAAACACACACGCGCACACACACACACATATGTATATATATATATATACATACATACATACATACATACATACATACATACATACATACATACATACATACATGTATATACGTGTGTGTGTGTGTGTGTACGTGTGTGTGTGTAGGTGTGTGTTTTTTTGGAGGGTATGTCTCTGTGTGTGGGTATGCATAAAGATGACGACATCAGCAGATATATCGATATGTAGGCAGGCAAAACCGAATATGATGTTGTCTGCCTCTTTGCCGATTGTCAGTCTGTATGACTGTACTTATGCTGAAGGTGAAGAAGAAGGAACCCGAAGTGAAGTTCCTGCATAGCAACATCATGCAACATCTTCCATTGCAGTTTGCGACGCCATGATTCCTTACACATGCATGTTCACATTCAGACGTACGGGCACAAACGCACCCTTACGCCGGTAAGAGTGCCATTCAGGCCCACCAGTTGCTCCGAGAGGCGCGCCATAAACTCCGGAAGCAGGACGGCAACAAATGGAATACTAGATCACTCTCGCCTTGGGTTCTTTATTATAGTTTGAAAGGGATCTTTATTATAGTTTGAAGCCTTGAACCCTAAACCCTGAGCCCTGAAAGCCTGGAGCCCTGATCAGGACAAGGAGAGCTCAAAGACCTTCTCGCGGATGTGCGGAGGTCTCGGCTCCATGCCCGAGCGCAGCGACCGAAGGGCCGCTAGGCTGGGGTTTTTAGGGTTTAGGGATTAGGGTTTAGGATTTAGGGTTTAGGGTTTAGGGTTAAGGGTTTATAGGGTTTAGGGCCCAGCGGCGCAAGCGTTTTCTTTCCTCTGATATCCTCACCTTCTCACCAAAATAGACGTTCTTTGAGGTCCAGAGTCCTTGCAGCACACCTTTTCTGGGCAAGTTGCGTTTTTGACAACTTCACGGGAAAACGTAAAACGGGTCTCTGGAGCGGTTTTCGCAGCCGAGGATGACGACCTCGTGGTGGCTCCCAACCTGGAGGAAGAGTACGCGAAGCTTTCACAGAAGATCGGCGTTTCAGTGGATCGTTTAAAGCCAACCACATAAACTGATCTTTTTGCGAACTACGATGGACAGAGAGGAGTCCCAAGAGGTGCCTCCGCAAAACTGGATGCAGGATGGGAAGAGTCACGAGAAGAAGTGCGTGATGGAGTAGCCGACACGGGCTTGAGGCCTCCAGGCCCTGATGAGCTGCGACGAGGTTCTGGGAGGATTATGGCACGATGATGCACGGCCCTGCGCGGGAAAACATCCAGATCCAGCCGCTATGTTCCGCTATGGGGTTTTTAAGCCATTCGCCTGACCCAGGTTATGCTGCCACCGGACCGAGCATATTTAGTTTTGGTTACGATCTTCTGACTGGATTTCGGATATCAGCTAAACTTAACAGGGGTGACCCCAGGGTGCCCCCGCACAGCACAAACATGGAGCATAAACAAGGCACCATGTCGTTGAGAATTGGGAAGCCTTTGTCTCAAATAGTGAAAATATGGAAACCTAGTTGTTCAAACGACGAACGGCTGCTGATAAGGAGAAGAAAACCAAGACCAAGTAAAGATCCCACACGGGAAAAGGGCCGAAGCCGTGGTGGGGCAGTCCCGATTACATAAATCTAAACCCTAAACTCTAAATCGGGCATTCGTCAGGCCATTGGTGTCCGGATGCGGCATCAAGTCCACGAGAGTGCAGTTGGTGGAATCGCTGTGAAGAAGGACTCGGTTTACAGGGATGCCTGGACTCACCTGGGCCTACCGATTGTGTGAGGAACTGCGGTTGTCATGGATGATCCAGAGGCACAGGCTCAAGGCCTAAATTATGAAGTGACTTCCAGGAGCCACATCTGTGAACTGGCCCCTCGGTCACATCGAGCTTTGGTTTTTGTTTAGGAATCATGGGAATGGGGATCTACCTATCTGTGGTCCTGCATCTTACATCCTACAGCCTCGCGCCCAAACTCTTTGACAGGGGCCAGTAATAACTAGCGACATTATCCCTTAGAACTCCTTGAAACAAGCCTACTGTAGAATCCCCACCAGGTACACATTGGGTCTCACCTCAGCGGTCGCCGTGCCTCTTACGCTGGAGTTCCATCTCCACCTCCTCTTCCGCCGTCCAGTACACGAGCAGATCTCCTTCAAGTTCCTTCAAGGCGGTTTTGCGCTTAGCGTTAGTCTGTGGGTGTTTAGGGTTCGGGGGTTGAGGCTTTTATGGTTTCGGGCTTAGGGTTAGGGCCTGCTAGCGTTTGGGGGTTTAGGGTTCGAGGGTCGAGGCTTTTATGGTTGAGATGCAAGCTTCGGCGATTGCACAAGTCCTGATGCAAAACGAGTTGGGAAGCAAGCATGACTCGGGGCTGCCGATGCTATTTCTCATCAGCCCCCAAAACTAGAAGCCGGAGAGGCCCAGGAGTCGAAGATCCAAAGTGCCAAATAAACCAGAGGCCACCTGAAACCCTAAGGCCTAAGCCCTAAACCTTAAACCCTAAGACCCTCAACGCTAAACCCTAAACCCTATAAGCCCCAAACCGTGCAGGCATGACTGCCCCCTGCTTGATTCTCCTCTGCACCACATTGGTCATGGCGTGGTTGGTCATGCCACTCGTGGCCCTGGCCAAGACCCTAAGGTGCACTTGAGAATTGTTGTTGTTTTGGGTTTTGGGTGGTTTAGCTTTTAGGTTTGAGGGCATCATGACCGACATGAGCCTCACTTAGATGTAATTAAACTCTTAGAATGCGTGTGCGTACATAATACATACACAAACATACATCTACAAACACACACACACACATCTATCTATATGTATATACACACACGCCGCGCGGTGGATATATATATATATACACAGACATATATGTGTGTGTGTGTATGTTTCGCTAGGCTATTGTTCATTGGTGGAAGTCCCACGAGCTGTCCAGGACCTCCATACTCGTCTACTCGATCGCTAGTGTGGCTTGGCTCGCAAGGGTCGTACCTAAGTTGTGGCATGCGTTCTGCACGGTACCGGCGGGAAGTAAAAGGTTCAAGGTTTCCCTTGCGGCTTGGGGCTCAGGGCTGCTGATCTAAGTTTGTTTCGTCCTGCTTGCACTGGCCAAGCATCCCGATTACAAACCACAGGCAAAGAGTGTAAATCTGCTGCATGCCGGTGAGACCACACAGTCACCTTTCAACGGTGCCATCGTTTGCAAGACTCGCCAACGATTGGCACGATTTAGGATATAAAATTCCAGACTCACCGATTTGCATAGAACATCGACTGCTGTCTTTGCAAAGGTGGCAACACCGCACCGCCACGGCCTCGGATGTGATACCCGAGACCGTAAAAGCCTAAATCCTTAGCCCAAGAAACCTAAGCGCCATTTACTTCCTCAGAGGGAGAACTCAAGAACTTTTTCGGTGCTTTGTTCTGGAACAAAAGAGCCTAGATCGTAAATCTTTCTCAAGCCCGGATGTTATGGCCGTGCGGCGTGCCATGGTCTTTGGTGCTTGGTTCAAGTTCCGTTACGCAGCCCCTGCAGCCCAAACCCTAACCTCGAATTGGACTTAAGGAGTTTTTATGGTAGTGCGGATTTGGAAATCGATGAGATAACTTCGTAATAAGTGTAGTGAGTAACCCTAAAGGGTTCAGGGCTCGCTTCGCAAAGTCTGCAAAGCGTCAAAGCGCGATTGAAAGCACGAGGTCAGACGACACAGGGCCTCTCAGAAAGTAAGGGACTCTAGCTTAGGGCTTATAGGGTCTATAGTTTGGGAGCTGCCGCCTCTCCAAACTAGGTTTCCTCCCCCCCTCCCCCTCCCTCTCCTCCTATGTCCGCCTTATGGCTGCAGCTGCGCAAGTGCGAAGTAAACGCACAGCTCACGCAGCTCAATGCTGCAGAGTCGGTTGGGCACCAGGCGCTTTTGTCGTGGCCGATCCGTTGCTTGGAGGGCCGATCCAGTGCTTGAAGGCGAGCACTTGAGCACCACCGGAGCCGCAAATTTTCGGTACTGTGACCAGCGGCAGGGAGCACCAGAAAAGCGCAGCTGGAAACAGGGAGCCGCCAGGAAACCACAACTGACACTAGGCTTTTCTGATTGAAATCCAGATGAACTTTTGGAGTCGCCCGAAAACCACGAAACTAGAGCACAACAAAAAGCACGAGACATAGCATCAGCAAAAACAGAACTCAAACAATATTTTGAGCACAAGCAAAAGCGCAGACTTCAAAACTGTCTGTTTGGGAAACTGAAACAGTTGAGAGCAATGATTCTATTATGTAAAAAAACGACAAAAAGGCACCAGAAAAGCACACCTGAAATCAGAATATGAGCAGAAAAAAGCCACAACAAAACCACAACTGAATGTGGATTGAAATTGACAAAAACAGATTCATTTTCAATTCTTGAAAAACTCAAAATTTTAAAAAAGCACATTAACACCCTTGGTTTTGCTTATGACAGGTGGCCCAGGCGACCCAGGACGCCTGGGCCAGGGCTGCCACCCCTTTGGGGGCTGTTGGACTGTAGCTCATTTCACGTCTCAGAGTTTGTGTCTTTTGGTCTGGTGTTCTTTTTTAGGGGCAGGCCCATTCACCTGCAGGCACAACATGCTGCCAAGATTAGCCTCCAAAGCGTGAAGCAGTAAGTTTTCCAACAAGTGGTGAAGTGCCGGTGAATTTCAGATTCCAGATTTGAGTGAACCCACATGATTTCAGTTGTGCTTTTCTGGTGCTGGTTTTTGTGGTCACCGTTACAAATGGTAGGACCTGGTAGGACCCCCAAAGAAGGCACCATTCAGCCAAGCAGAAACAACTCGATTCAAGGCCGAACTCTGTCACTCAGTCTGTTGGGGTATAGTTCTCTGAATTAGGGTTCCTTTTTAGGAACCCCCCCAAACAGGCGACACCCTTTTTTTTATAGAGTCCTAAAAGGGACCCTAATTTTGAAACCTACCCTTTTTGGTCGCCCGACACGTGAACCTTCAGCGTTAAACCCGGACTCCTAGACCCGCAACCCGAAACCCTAGATGCTATGCCCGAACTATAAGCCCTAAGCACGATATTTCCTAAAGACTATGAACCCTTAACACGATTATTCCCAAACACTATAAGCCACAACCACTATAATTGCTAAGCACCATAAATCCTATACAGTATACCTCCTAAAAAGCCGGTACTTGAGACTGCTTCCGGCATGTCCAAGTTGCGAGAGCGAGTAAATCCTAAGCCCAAACCAAAGAACCAGCTAACCCCAAAACCCGATAAACCCTAAACGCTACTGGATAAACCCGGTAAGCCCTGTACCCTATAAGCCCTGTAAGCCTCTAAAAACCCGAAAAACCACACAAATCCTAAAAGTAAAGCTTATGGGAACCGGCGGGCCTCAAAGGACCCTAGACCCTACGAAAAACGGGTTTAGGGTTTGGTGCTGGTAGGTTAAGGTAAGCCATAATAAACTTTAACCGGTCACCTCAAACCCTGAGGCTCCAAACCCTATATGAACTATGGGTCCCGTAGAAAAGGAGCTCCAACAAAAACAAAAAAACAAACCTCAACCAGTTAATTTCCAAAGCTTAAACCCTAAAACCCTAAAGCCCTAAAACCCTAAAACCCTAGAGCCCTAAAGCCCTAAACCCCTAAATCCCTGAAACCTTACCTCCAAGCCAAGGGCTCCGCTTGTGGCGGTTCGTGCTGGTCGGCTTCGGAGCGTTCCTCATCTCCCTGGTGCAGGCCCGGGCTGCTAAGACCTGGCAAGGGAGGGGCTCTTTCAGGGATCTAGGGTTTAGGGGCTTAGGGTTTTGGGTTTTGGGGTTTAGGGTTTACTTAGGGTTTTGGGGTTTAGGGTTTAGGATCTAGGGTTTAGGGTTTGGGGGTTGAGGGGTTTAGGGTTTAGAAGTCCTGATGCAAAAAAGTGGGTTTAGGGGTTTAGGGCTTAGGGGTTTAGAGTTTAGAAGGGTTCCTATAAGGGTTCTTCGAAAGGGATTCAGAACGGCTCCATTAAGGGATAAGAAGCTCTACCCCGAGCTTTGGTTGCAGAGTCTCGCCCACTTAGAGTCTGGAGTCGTTCTTAGTAGGGTTTCGAACGAGTGTATGTTTCGGTTTCCATTCCGATTGAGCAACGAAGGCCTTTCATCATATAAAAGCCTGAAGCGCTAAACTGCTAAACCCAAATCTAAGCTCTGGTCTAAATGCATGAGTCCCAAGCCGCATTCACAATGAACCTCATCTGCGAGAACACCTAGTGTGATAGTGTAAACCTGAACCCTAAACCCACGATACGTCTCTGAGTAAAATCACAATCGTTTTGCAGCTCCTGCGCCACCCCACGATGAAGGCTCTCGACATAGCCATGCGGGAGGCAAACAAAACTTGAAACCCTGCACAATACTGCCCCATCCCCCAGACTGTGAGCCTAAACCATGAATCCTCAACCCTAAACCTGAAATCCTAAACCCTGGACCTGAAATCCTAAACCCTAAACCAAAAAAGTGTGAGAGCCGAAACCATAAATCCTAGACCCTGAACCTGAAATCCTAAACCCTAAACCATGAAAGTGTGAGAGCCGAAACCATAAATTCTAGACCCTAAACCTGAAATCCTAAACCCTAAACCATAAAAAGTGTGAGAGCCGAAACCATAAATCCTAGACCCTAGACCCTAAACCTGAAATCCTAAACCCTGAACCATAAAAAGTGTGAGAGCCGAAACCATAAATCCTAGACCCTAAACCTGAAATCCTGAACCCGAAACCATAAAAAGTGTGATAGCCGAAACCATAAATCCTCCTAAACCTGAAATCCTAAACCCTAGCCTGGATGAGACCCCCTATAAGTCCCAAACCAACCCCTGAACTTCAGACGAGTTTTTCCAGGGTCTCCTAGCGGCAGCCTGGATCGTCTACGTTCCTTGGCCTTACGGTTTAGGGTTTAAGGTTTAGGGTTTAGGGCTTAGGGTTTAAGGCTTAGGGTTTAGGGTTCAGGGTTTAAGGTTGAGGCAGCTCAGGGTGTCGACTTGTTTGTGGTTTGTCTTAGGGCTCATGTCCTTAGCTCCTGGGGAGGAGAGAAGGGACTGCAGGTCTAAAAAAGCAATCGGAATCAACAAGAAAACAATTAAGCCCTCTCGTCCAGATCCCAAAGCCCACCGTTTCATGGTGTGTTTTTGAAGAAGTTCTTGATCCTCCATCCACTCCCAAGAAGAGTTTCGCCTTCGATGATGGGGTTTTAGGGGTTCAGCTCAATTGAAGCAGAGCCTAGTCGTGTTTCGCTGGAGACCTGCCCAGATCCTGTAGCTTCTCAGCATGTTCGCCAGCGCTTGACGGTAGCATGCCAAGTCTGTATTGCACTAGACTGAACTTCGACTTCCGCAGGAGTTTGGATAAAAAGGCAGGGATGGGTGCTTCCCGCAAGCCCAATTGCCAAACTACCGCAAGTTTGTTTCTGCTACAGATGCGCTTCCATTCTCAACCCGAAAATCCCGAAGGCAAGATCCTAAACAGAAGGCCCTCACAAAAGTTCCTTACAGACAGCCAAACCCCACAGCGCTAGATACTGCACAGCTGTAACCCCAAGGAAGCACGAATCCTAAACCCCTAAACCCTAAACCCCCAAACCCCTAAACCCTAAACCCTAAACCCCAAAGACCCCTAAGCCCTAAAGCCTGGGTTCCAACGAGGCACCAGTGTGCCTGTTTGCTGCCTTCCTCTACTCCGCTCCCAACGTCGAGTACCGGAAGAGGGGCATCAAAGCTTGTATATAATGTTAACTGAATAGAATTAAGACGTTTTTGTTAAAGCACATGTTATCATATAATGTAACATAATATATTGCATTATGCCCTTTTGTGCTTCTCGAGTCAGGATTTGGGGCTCCCAGTTTGGGGTTTAAAGCTTATGGGGTTATGGGCGCAAAAGGGTGGAGGGATCAGGAGAATGTCGCACTCGGGTATGATTGTTACGGAACCTATAGTGTCGAAAGGAGTTTGGGTTGTGGAGGCCTGTGGTTGTGTGTCGTAGCACTCCTTCGGGTTTGCTCTGTAGGGCTCGGGGTTAATGGGGCTTGTGACAAAAGAAGGAGCCACCGGCTAGTTCGTCCTCTTCGGGGTGCTTGGAGGTAGCTTGCACCAACAAAGCACCAGAGCACGTACCTACCTGTCTCTGCCAAATCTCAGGCCTGAATGCGCTGTGCTGCTTGATCGGTGCCTTCGCTTTGGCGGTGGCTTTCCTCTTGCTCTCAGGCGCATCTTGGCCCTAGAAGCCCAGCAGGCTCAAAGATGAAACACTTTAAATACCTGGTGGCTTGACCGGCTAGCACAAGCTTCGGCTTGGGTTGGAACATGCTAGTTCTCTAAATCAGTGTCCCTCGTTAGGTCCCTAATACCTGATAAAGAGGACCCCAAGAGGGACCCTANNATTTAGAGAACTACCCACATGCATGTCACGCATCAACCCGAACAGGGGGGATTCTGTTCACCAGTCCGATCGGCCTTGCTAGCATTTCTGAGGCTAGCTTCACGGCGGAGCAGGAGAAGCAGGTGAATATTGCAACTCGGCTTGCTTGCATGTCAAAGGCCGAAAATATCGTAGCATGAGACTCCGTTGCGCAAGATTTGCAGCCAGAGCTGCTTTTGCCCATATCTAGGACCCTGAAGGACTGCCCAGAACGTCAAGGGACTCGGCGTTCCAAAGCGTCGTGCATTTTGTCCGGAGCAACCCTAAATCAGTCAAGCCGCAACCAGTAAAGGCCAGTGACGCGCACCTAGGCTCAAGTTTGCTTGGTGGTGGGTCATTTGTGGCTGTTGGTGTTGGCTCTGCTCTTCCTGTTCTACACAGCTGCTTGGCACGGCTAACTTAACTCAGAAGTCCTAGTTAACAATTTATAACCAGGGCTCCACATTCCATGTATGTTCCTATACTTCAAAACCATTATTCTAGTCAGTCAGGCCCCTGCATTAGTGGCATAGGTGGAGAGCTTCAGACGCTCGGGGGTTACGGGTCATGAGAGGCCTCGAGGTACAGGGTCATTCAATACGGGTCCTACGACGAAAAAAGCGGCCTTGCAAATTAGCAATGCTCTCCCTGAGTGTTCTTGAGTTCCTGAATCCAAATACAGTACAAAATACCGCTACAGGCCTCTAGCAGCATTTTCGAAAATGCCCATGGACCTTCCCCCTTAGGGTTTAGGGCTTAGGGGT